GAAGTACCGCTACACCAGTGTGTAATTCGTTCTATCCTGGGAGGAAATAATCTATAACCTTGGATATTAGGAGGGGATTAAATTCCTTAAGGAAACACTGTGAATTCAGTGGGCTCGAATTAATTTCTGTATTTTTTTTTATTTATATTTACGTTTATAAGCTAACGTTCTAATTTCCAGAATTATTATTTACAAGTACAGAGGAACAACAGTTCAGACTCTGTAAAGGAAGCTCGATTTGGTGAAAGCAACAGAAATAACCAGATATGAACAAGGATTCCATACAGATGTCTTACTTGGATTTCGAGCTCACGAGGATCATGTTCTTGCTTACCAGCAAGTACTCGGGCAAAGTCATCCCCTGCTTCCCCCTTCTCCCAATGATGCCACACTTGGCACAGTAGGAAGCCAAGGACGACAAAATGGAAGAGAACATATATTATAATACCGTAGCGTCAAGGCTTGACATGAACAAACAACTTTCGCGCTGGAACCCAGGTGTCATTGTGTATCAATAGTACGTTTTATTTGTAGAGCAGCTCTAACAACATTGCCCCTTGTGATAATCCCAACCTTCACATTTCAGTAAACAGGGATTCATCAGAAATTAAATGCTGCTGGCAGATGCACTAAAAATCCAAATAAAGAGAAGAAGAAGGCAAATTACCAGTTTGCCATCAACATCAACAACAGGCAGCCGACGGTACTTCGTTTGGAGCAACAACCTAAAATCAGCAGGAATTTATCTCATGATGTCAACTTTATAGTAAAATCTGCTAAATGAATAATCCAGATTCTCATTAAGTGATTAGCAAGAATGCAATAGTCCAGCGGAAGGAGAGAAGATTAGCAAGAATCATCTGCCTTAAATAACATGTCTCTTGCCGCCTTCCCAAATGGAATAGGTATAAAAAAGAAAAGGCATTAAAAGGAATTTTAATAACCAATTGCACTAGCTAATTGGAACCTTATTACAGCTTAATGAAAATACAAAAGCTTGTTCAATTACCTTGCAGCATCTTCAAGGTTGGTGTTTTCACGGACAGATAATGGAGTTGGTGTCATGACATCACCAACAACTTTTTCATTAGTTTTGCTCAGTAGCTTCTGAACCTCATTAAACGTCTACAGAATCAAATCAAGAAACGTAACAAGATACAGAGGGTATTGCGGAAGCCAAATGTATATAGCGAAATGTATATAGTGTGAATGAGTCACAACTACTATACGACAGTCACCAAATAATAAATAAGACAATAAAACAACAATAAAAGGAACACCAGAATTTATGAGGTTCAGCCAATTTTGTCTACTTTCTCGGACACAACCAATATTTTATTTCACTCCAAAAATACAAGTGAAATAATACTAAAGAGAGAAGATACAAATGCCTTAGGAAGATAAGAAGGCAAATGAGGTGTGTATAAATCCTAAACATTAGGCCTCCTTTTATAGAGAAAAATTCCCAAACCCAAATTGTCACCCACCGATGTGGGACTTTTGACAATCAACAAATCTCCACCTTGGCAAAATTCCACATCTTCAACTTTCTCTCAATAACAAATTTTGGTTGTGTCTTCATCTTCAATCTTCAGTGTTCAACAATGTTGATCAAATCCAAACAATGTTGAAACTTGACCGCAGTCACCACCTTTGTCAGCATATCAGCAGGATTCTCCGTAGTATGAATTTTCTTCACCGTGACTCCACCTTCTTCTATGATTTCTCGTACGAAATGATACCGAACATCAATGTGTTTCGTCCTTGCATGATAAACTTGGTTCTTAACTAATTGAATAGCACTTTGACTATCACAAAAAATTGTGATACTTTTTTGCCCAATGTCAAGCTCTTTTAGCAACCCCTGAAGCCAAATTGTCTTCTTCACAACCTTTGTAATAGCCATGTACTCTGCCTCTGTTGTAGACAAAGTAACTGTTGACTGCAAAGTAGACTTACAACTAACTCGTGTCTTTGCAAAAGTAAACACAGAACCAGTAGTTCATCTTCGTTTGTCTAGATCACCCGCAAAATCTGAGTCACAATATCCAAATACGAACTGATTGCCTTCCTGCTCAAAAACTAACCCAACATCTACAGTATTATGAATATACCATAGAATCCACTTCACAGCTTGTCAATGCTCCTTTCTTGGATTATGCATATATCTGCTAATAACTCCAACAACTTCTGAAATGTCAGGTCTCGTACAGACCATTGTATACATCAAGTTATCAACAACATTTGCGTATGGTACTTTTGACATATACTCTCGTTTAGCTTCATCTTTTGGTGAATAGTAGTACTTAGCTTAAAATAGGGAGCAAGTGGAGTACCAACTGGCTTAGTCTTCTCATCTATGTCAAAGCGTTGTAGTACTCTCTTCAAATATTCTTTCTGAGATAAACAGAGTTTCTTTGAACGTCTATCTCTTATTATCTCAATGCCAAAAAATTTCTTTGCCTTACCCAAATCCTTCATCTCGAACTCCTTCTTCAGTTGAAGCTTCAACTTATGAATTTCTTCCGAATTCTTGGAAGCTATCAACATATATGAGAAGATATACAAAGGAACCATCTTCAAGCTTGCGCAAATACACACAATGATCGTATTTGCTTCTCTTGTACCTTGCCACAACATAAACTTGTCAAATCTCTTGTACCATTGTCTAGAAGATTATTTCAATCCGTACAATAATTTTTCAAGTTTGCATACCATATTTTCTTTTCCAGCAACTTTGAATCCTTCTGGCTGAGTCATGTAGATTTCCTCCTCCAAGTTTCCATGTAAAAACGACCAAAGCCAACATAATTCTAATGGAGGAATGTTTTACAACTGGAGAAAACACTTCATTGTAATCAATTCCCTCCTTTTGAGCATATCCTTTGGCCACCAATCTTGCTTTGTAGCGAACATCTACTTGGTTAGGAAATCCTTCTTTCTTTGCAAATACCCATTTGCACCCAATTGCTTTCTTTCCCTTCGGGAGATTGGCCAATCTCCATGTATGATTCTGATGAAGGGACTGTATTTCATCATTTATGGCAATCCTTCACTTATCTTCTTCTGAACTTTGGACTGCATCTTTATAAATGGTAGGAACATCATCAGCTACAATTGAGGCGGCACAAGCAACCGTCTTATAAGACGAACAGGTTTTGTTATTGTCTTTTTTGGTATGCTAGTTGCAATTGATTCAAGTTGTTGTTGAGGTTCCTGAGTTGGAATCTCCCTCTCTACTAGCTCTTCTTCCAGAGGATAATCTTCATTTGTTTCCTCCTCTGCTTCTTGTGTTGGAAAAATAAATTTTTCCTCAAACTCCACTTGCTTAGAAACACCCTCATTTTGTTTGGTATCTTCTGTTACCTTATTTACTTAGCAGATTCATCAAAAGTAACATCCCTGCTGAATATTATTTTCTTTGTCATAGGACACTATAAGCGATATCCTTTGTCTCCAGAAGTAATCCCTATGAAAATAGTCTTCTTTGCCCTTGGATCCAATTTTGACTCTGTCATATGATAATATGCAGTTGAGCCAAACACGTGCAAATAGTCATAATATACAGCAGATTTTCCATACCATTTTTCAAATGGTGTCTTGCCATCAATAGCAGCAGATGGTAAGCGATTAATGAGGTGACATGCATATGTAATTGCCTCAGCCCAAAATTCTTTTCCCAAGCCAGCATTGGACAACATACATTGTACCTTCTCCAGCAAGGTCCAGTTCATACGTTCTACCACTCCATTCTATTGTGGTGTATGTCTGACAGTGAAGTGTCAGACGATGCCATTATTTTCATAGACCTTATTAAAATGATCATTTTTGTATTCACCTTCATTGTCTGTGCAAATACACTTGATCCTCCTGCCTGTTTGATTCTCCACCATCATTTTCCATTTGAGAAAAATTCCCAACACTTCATCTTTGCTCTTTATTGTATATACTCACACTCTTCGGAAAAAATCATCAACAAAGTTACAAAATAGTGCTTCCCATCCAATGAAGGTGTTTTGGAAGGACCCCAAACATCAGAGTGTACATAATCCAAAATACCTTTAGTATTATGGATCGTTGTCCTTGTTTGTTTCCCTTTGACACAATGCTCGCAAAACTCCAAGTTGCAAGCCTTTACTCCTTTTAACAATTCTTGATCTGATAAAGTTTTCAAGGATTTACCTCCAGCATGTCCCAATCGCATGTGTCATAGCCTGGCTGCTTCTTCCTCTTTTTCGTCACTAGATGTTACTATCGCTGTCCCAACAACTGTACTACTGCAATAACGGTACATGTTATTATTCTTCCGATTGGCCTTCATTACCACTAGTGCACCGGAGCATACTCTCATCACTCTATTTTCTGCAATGATTTTAAACCCTTTTGATTCTAGGGCTCCCACAGAGATGTGATTCTTCTTCAAATCCGGTACATATCGAACATCTGTTAATGTACTGATCATTCCATCATGGTTCCTTAATCGTATTGAACCAATGTCATATGAGGTAAGAGGGCTATTATCTGCTGTGGGACACATATGATAGCTACAAGTTGAGTCCATCAACCATATGTCTGATGATGTTGATGGCCCTGTTGTAACTAATGAGAAGTCTGAATCATCACAATCAGCTATATTTGAATCCATAATGTCTTTTCCATTGTTATGTTTGGCCTTATTCTTCAACTTCGGACAGTTTTTCTTCCAGTGTCCCTTTTCTCGACAAAAGGCACATTCATCTTTGCTGGGTCTAGATCTTGACTTAGATCTTCCCTTCTTTGTCCTCATTTGATTTTGAGGACGACCCCTCACAACCAGTGCTCCTCCTTCTCCGCCCTTTTGTTTTTCTCCCTTTCTTTGTTCATAGCTGTACAAAGCCGAACAAACTTCTCTGAGAAAAATTTCGTCATTCCCATGGAGTAGAGTAGTTTCAAGGTGCTTGTACTCATCAGGAAGTGACCCCAATAATACCAAGGCCAAGTTACCATCATCAAAAGTTGCATCCATATTTTGTAAATCTGTGACCAACTTATTGAAACTGGTGATATGTTCGTTCATTGTGGTACCAGGAACATAGGTGAAGCGAAACAGTTTCTTCTTCATGTACAATTTATTTTGACTATTTTTCTTCAAATATTTATCCTTCAGTGCTTTCCATAATTTACTTGCAGAAGTTTCCTTTGTGTATGGATATTTTGCTCTCTAGCAAGATAAGATCGAATGGTACAGCAAACAACACGATTGATAACTCTCCAATCTTCTTCTCCAATAATATCTGGTCTTTTTTCTTCAATGGAAAGATCTAGACCTTGTTGAAAAAGGACATCTAGAACCTCGTCTTGCCACATCCCAAAATGTCCTGATCCGTCAAAAATTTCTACCGCAAATTTCGCATTTGACACAATTCTTGTCATAAGCGAAGATGCCAATGATGATGTATTGTTGACACTTGATTTAGATTCTTCTTGTTTATTGTCTCCCATCTTTGACATAAATATTATTAATAGATGACGACAAAAATCAAGATTATTTCCTTTTTGGTATAGAAGATCAGATTAAGCTGCAACCACAGAGCATACTCAGACAGAACCTTGACTCAGTTACCAAGATAAATCTTTTCTGATGTGGAAGATTAGATTATGCTGCAACCACAGAGCATACTTAAACAATACCTTGGCTCTGATACCAATTGTTGTGGAAGCCAAATGTATATAGTGTGAATGAGTCACAACTATTATACAAAAAATTATGGCTGCCACCAAATAATAA